TCTAATTCCAACTGTTTACTCTCTGTACTTGCCATGTGACCTTGAGTAGGTACATGAATCCCATGGGGCAGTTTTCTCATCTATAAATGGAACTAGTAATGATCTTCTCATGGAATTACTGTAAAGATTAAATAAGATGACAATTATAATATGCCTGTAACATAGAGGACATTCAAAAAAATTTTATTTCACCTCTTAGGCTACCTCTATAACTGTCCAAAACACAAAAAATGAGGACACAGTCCAATTTTTTGGTGAAAATGCCAATATGAAAATAGCTTTGCTGGCCAGGTGTGGTGGCTCATGCCTGTAATCCTGGCACTTTGGGAGGCTGCCATGAGAGGATCGCTTGAGGGCCAGGAGTTGGAGACCAGCCTGGCCAACATGGTAAAACCCCGTCTCTGCAAAAAAATGTAAAAATAACTGGGAGTGGTGGGGCATACCTGTAATCTCAGCTACTTGGGAGGCTGATGCACAAGAGTTGCTTGAACTCAGGAGGCAGAGGGGGCAGTGAGCTGAGATTGTGCCATCACACTCCCTCCTGGGTGGCAGGGAGACTTTGTCTCAAAAAAAAAAAAAAAAAAAAAAAAAAAAAAAGGAAAGAAAGAAAAGAGCTTTGCTATTAGCCTGTAAGTGATGCCCTTTAGTTTGTCTTTCAGTACCATCATAGCTCTCTTCTCCTGAAGGACTATCTACATTTTCTTTCATTATTTTCAATGTTTAATTAAAGATTATATCTGGTTCTACATCCATGATCTATCTGCAGAGTTCTCTCTGCTTGAATTCATTTTGCTTCTCTAGAATGAGGGGTATTTATTTATGTATTATATTTTTGCTTATGAAAAAGAAAAGAGTATCCTAAAGGATACAAATCAAAATAAATGTCTCTTCTTGAGAATATTTCCCAAGTAATGAATTTGTGTCACTCCAGTATTCACTTTGAGCAAATTTGACCTGCTAAAGACACATTCTGGTTTCATATTCCTAGGTGTGATGACTTAATATCCTGCTTCATGCTTTTCAGAAAAATCAGACCTGAAAGTCTTTTGACCATCGTGTGTGCAAGGCTTTGCTCTTAGGCTAACATGAGAGCATTCTGTCCAGCCAGTAACGTGCAGTTCCTCTCCTCACTAATAAGATTACTGTCACTGAAATGAAATATGAGACCTGGACTAGCCAGTTTGCATTGCTTTAGAATTCTGCCCAAGGGAAACTTGTTCATTATGTGAGTGCTTTAAAAATCAAGGGAATTGGAAAATATTATTAACCCCATGCAATTTCATTTCCCTTCCATAATGTTACTATGGCAACTCAGCATCCCTTTCTTTCTCTCCTGTCCAACTGCATATGTTGCCTTTCTTGAGGCAGCCTCCCTCAATCCCCCAAAATTGTCTTTGTCTAGCATTTTTCAACTGGAGATCAACACTGTTCTTTGCAGTTGAAAAACTGCTTGTTGGTCTACAGCTCATTCTAAGTGACATTGTTCATTAATTGTAAATTTCTAGGGGTTGGAAGCAAGTCAGAATCCTTATTCTGCATCAAAAAAAAAAGCGTGGTTCTAATTTTAGGGAAAGGAATATGCCAGTTCTCTGCTACATTGCAAAGCACAATATCAACCATAGCTCTTTTATTAAGCTTATTAGTATTCTGAGTTAGAAAAAGAGAGTATCTTATTTAGAGCAAATTCTGAAAGCTAAGAGACTTAGTCACATTCTTAAATTGTATCCCAATTTACAAGTCATTTATTCGAGGGAGAATTTTACTTTTCTGGAAAAATAAGGTATTTCAATAGTGCTACTGAAGTAGGCAAAATGAGTCTACTGTTAAACAAAAAGGATGACAAAGAATGGAATTTTAAACAACTAGCTAGAATTTTTTTTTAACTATCCTGAAAACAGATTCATTCACTCACTCCATTCATTCATTTACTCAGTAATTTTTATTAGACAGCTTTTATGGACATAGTACTAAATTACTTCCTCTGTGAGATTCATTTATTCCTTAAGCCGGCAACCTTGTCCTCAGAGATAAACTAGTATTAAATAAAAAATTATTCGTGATATTTGTAAGAAAACAGTAAAGCTGACTTTATCCAAAGGGGGCTACTACAAAGGAATTTTGTAGTAGTAAAGAGAGATCTAATTCAACTCTGAATACAGCAAGGAAAGGTGGGAATTTATAGCCAAGGAATAAGGTGTGAGGTCAGTAAATAGAAAATTACTAATAGGAAATGTCAGGGATAGGAGCAGTTCTGGCTAAACTAACTAGAAAAGATTAGGTCAGGTTGATAAGAGAGGCTGGGTGAGAGATAAGGAATTTGATATAATAGTAAGGATGTGGGATTTTCATTAAACTGATCCAGTAGGAGTCTTGCTAAAATTGAACTAAGCAGCCACTAACATATGGCAGCCCAAAAGTCAGGGCCAAGGTGAGAAGAGAATTCAGAGAAGCTGTGTAGAGCTAAGTCAAGAAGAGCCTCTTTGTCACTAGAAATATTCATGTGTGCCCACAGGTAAAGAAAATGCTAGGTAAAAAGTTATAGGTTCCCCAAAAGAGGTATAGAAAATAAGACAGGAGTCCAGAAGGTAGAAAGATTGTGTTTAATTTGTGGAAAGACTTCAAAAAAATACTCTGCTATAAGACAGTAAGGATCCTGTAGGAAGTGGAAAGGAACTCTGAGGTACATGAAGTAGCGTGGGCAAGACAGTAAAACAAGACAGAGGCTGCCGTGAACCAAGGTCTCACCACTGCCCTCCACCCTGGACGATAAAGTGAGACTCCATCTCAAAAAAAAAAAAAAAGAAAGAAAGAGGGCAAAATCAACAAAAAATGTGTGTCTGTAAGAAGGAACAGTATACCTCAAAGGATTAAGGAGTTGATGGTTGAGACAGATTTTGCTCTTAGCCGAACACTTTACATTCAGTGTGTAGCATTTTGCTTTGTGGAAGGTGATTATCAAGGATGAATGAGTGGAGCTAAAATAGTTATTTTTCTGTGTGACCATACTTAGAAAATACTGATGAAAAGAGTCAAACCCTGGGATAATATTTGAATAGATTTATTCTGAGCCAAATATGCATAACTGGTGGCCTGTGATGCAGCCCTTAGGAGATCCTGAGAACAGGTGCCCAAGGTGGTTGGGGTACAGCTTGGTTTTATACATTTTAGGGAGACAAGAGACATCAATACATGCAAGTTGTACATTGCTTCCATCTGGAAAGGCAGGACAATAGAAGTGGAGGGGTTTCCAAGTCATCGTTTGATAAAGGTCTAATATCCAGAATCTACAAGGAACTTAAACAAATTTATAAGAAAAAAAAAAAAAAAAACATCAAAAAGTGGGCAAAGGATATGAACAGACAGTTCTCAAAAGAAGACATTTATTTGGCCAAAAAACATATGAAGAAAACTTCAACATCGCTGATCATCAGAGAAATGCAAATCAAAACCACGATGAGACATCATCTCACGCCAGGCAGAATGGCAATTATTAAAAAGGAAGGAAACAAGCCTGGTGAGGCTGTGGAGAAATAGGAACACTTTTCCACTGTTGGTGGGATGTAAATTATTTCAACCATTGTGGAAGACATTATGGTGATTCCTCAAGGATCTAGAACCAGAAATACCATTTGACCTAGCAATCCTATTACTGAGTGTATCCCCAAAGGAATATAAATCATTCTACTATAAAGACACAAGCACACGTATGTTTATTGTGGCACTGTTTTACAATAGCAAAGACATGAGACTAATCCAAATGCCCATCAATTACAGACTGGATAAAGAAAACGTAGTATACATGTATCATGAAGTACTATGCAGCCATAACAAAAAAATGAGATCATGTCCTTCACAGGGACATGGATGAAGCTGGAAGCCATCATTCTTAGCAAACTAACACAGGAACAGAAAACCAAATACCTCATAAGTGGGAGTTGAACAATGAGAACACGTGGACACAGAAAGGGGAACAACAAACACCAAGGCCTGTTGGGGGCTGGGGGGTGAGGGGAGGGAACTTAGAGGATGAGTCAATAGGTGCAGCAAACCACCACGGCACACATGTAACTAGGTAACAAACCTACATGATTTGTACATGTATCTTTTTTTTTTTTGGTAAGATTTTAAAGACAAAGATCATCAAGTAATTTTTCACATGGAATTTAGTTCAGAGAATTTATAACTCTCCTATAACGCTCTGTGCGAACAGGGTTTCTCAGCACTAATATCTGTAAAAGCAAACATCAGGGCTAATATTGATGCTGAACCCTGTCTCATTCTAGCCATAACTAATCTTCATTAACAGATACATAAGCTAGTCATAAAAAATCCATCTCATTAAAAGAGAAATTTTTGACACATTATTTTTGTGGAATGGTCACAAAACTTTTAATATGTTTTGCTGTTTCGATTGGTTGTATTCAAATAATTATAATGATAATAGGAGATTTATTTTTTATATTTAGAGACATGTTGTCAGGAAATATTTAAACTTTCGTAAATTTAAACTTATATAATTTCGTGGCAGAGAAATATGTGGTAATCAATAAAAAACCTTCAAGCATAAAATTACATTAAGATAAAATTATGTAGGGGAAATGGAATGGAAATAGAAACACAAGAGGAAAAAGAATCAATGTAGAATTTCTATTACAAATTTCTATTTAAAAGTTTATTCTTGTGTTTTTTTAATGGTGAGCATCAAATTACTTAGAGTACTTAGATTTTACTGGCTATTCAAAAGAGTAGTGGAACAGTTACATATTTAAATGTTAATATTCAAACTTGTGGGAAATTACATATTTTACAGCTACTTAAACTTATAGAAAAATGTAGTTTTCAACTTAAAAATAAGGAAGTATTTTATGAAATAAATGAGCAAATGTTTGAAGCCCTCTTGCCTACAGCATGTCAGGTGCCATGCTGAATCTTGAAGAAGTACACTGCACTTACAGAATTTATTGTCAAATTTAATTGGCAATGTTTCCTTTGTTCAACAGGATGGTCTGACACCATTGCACTGTGGAGCAAGGAGCGGCCATGAGCAGGTGGTAGAAATGTTGCTTGATCGAGCTGCCCCCATTCTTTCAAAAACCAAGGTAACTTCATTTCAGGTTTCTGGAATGGTGGTTATATGATGAAGCTTTTTGAATCACATAGAAAATGACATTTTCAATGTTGCAATCAGAGTAGCTATGTTCACCAAGACTTTAGAGAGCCTCAAAATAAGTTTGGGTTTGTTAAGATTTTATGTACAACGTGCTATACCATAAAGTCATGTGTGTGTGTGTGTGTGTGTGTGTGTGTGTGTGTGTGTGTGTGTGTGGGCGGGGGAGTTGTTTTGTTTCAGGAATGCTTACTGCTTGATTTTACTCCGTGAAATTTTCATAGCACAGGAATAATTGCTTGTCACGCTAAAAAAGACTAAAACTTCTACACTCTCTAAAGTATGGTGCTGGCTGTCTTTCTCTACCCCCTCAGTTTATTTCTTGAGCATTTACAGAATATTAAGGAGGTCAAGGATACCACCACTTAGCTGATGAAGACTGGAAACTTTGGCAAGATTGTACCTTGATTGGGCTTTGGGGAGTATTGACATATCTGTAAGGAACACATGTTGATTGCCTGAAAAAAAATAATGGCTGACTATCTTTTAGACTTTTTTTTTCATAGTAAAACCCCATTTATTTGACATCATTGGAAAAAGAGAATATTTGCAAATAAATTTTGAGACATATAAACCACCTCATTGTCACTACTATTTTTATTAATTAAACCAGTGATTTTTTAGAAATGATGTGAAGCTTTATTAAGAGCTTTAATCTCTAAACATTATCAAAGCAACAAGAGCACATATTATTTCTGTTTGCACTCTGCTGAGTGTTTCCTCAACAACATTAGGAAGACGGGAAAGGGTTAGATGGTCTGGACAATTCCATCACCCATTTAAAATGTAGGGGTTAGATTGGTGAGCTGTGTGTGGAGGGTGTTATCTAACAGAATTAAGCAGCCATGATGTTTTCATTATATATGATGACACCTTGGCCTTTTGAGCGTTTCTCATCTTGATGATTCTATTTGTCCTTTTCCCTTTACATATCCCATATCTATTTTATTCCCCCCTTCACTGCTGTCTTCTAAGCCACATTATCATCTCTCACTGAACCACTGTGGTAGCCTGCTATGGATCCCCCCTTCCCCTTCTTGCTCCTTTACAATTCAGCTCCCACTTTGCAGTCAGAGTGGCCATATAAACTGTCAACCAAATCATGTCAGCTCCTGCTTAAAAACCCTCCCATTCATCCCCATTGTTCTCTTTCAAATTGATTTTCACTTTCCCAAAGCTATAAGGACCAATGTTAAAAATCAGAGAGTTGCTCATCCTTTTTCTCCTATTCATCTCATTGCTTTGGATTTTTTTCTGAGAAATCTTCTTGATTTTTTTTTTGTCCAACCTTTTAATTTTCAAGAACATTTTCTTGTTCTCTGATAGCTTATTTTCTTAAAGTATCCTATTCTTATTTAATGGGTTCAATATTTTCTGTTACCTTTTTTAGAGCAGTTGAGATAACTTTTAGTTTTTCTGTTTCCCAAATGTCCCTAATTCCTCAGATTTCCTCTCTCTCTCTCTCTCTCTCTCTCTGTCTCTCTCTCTCTCTTTTTTTTTTTTTTTTTTTTTTTTTTTGGCTTTGCCTCTATCTTTTATATTGAAGGGTTCCGACACTGGCTGTACCTAACTGTGTCAGGCACAAACATGTGAATGGAAGCTCTAAAGAATGTAGGCAGTGCTGATCAGATGGCAGTGGTTAGGAGGGGCTCTTTAATGTCAGGATTTGATTCCTTTTACCTTGGGGCGGTACAGTTTTTTTGAGAGACATATCCACCAATCTTTGCAGTGCACACCTGTGTGAATACTTTCTGAGTAGGGGAAAGAAGCTGCCAGTCTTGTGCTTTATGCATACTTTAATCATAATAATGATAACTAATATTTACATGGTGATTACTGCTTATCAGGCTCTTTGTTCTTTACACGTATTAACTCATTTAATCCTCACAATTGCTCTATGAGCTACTGTTATTGCTGTTATTCCCTTTTCATAGAGGAAGAAACTGAAACCCAAAGACATAAAGTAGCTTTCTCAAAATCTCAGTTAGCACAGAACAAGGATTTGAACCCGTACAGTCTGACTCCAGAGACCACATCCTTAACACCTCCGTTCTCCTTCCTTTTTCTGTGACCACTTATTCTCGGTCCAGATCCTCATCACTGCGCTCTGTTCTGCCTGGGCCCTTGAGTCTGAGTCCTTCTTATTCACCTTCTCCAGACACTAAACTCTGGTGTTCTTCAGGCTAGGAGGAGGCAGTTATCTGACTATGCTGAGTTGGGAAGGGTCTGGAGAACTGAGGACTCCATACACAGTCTTTGAAAGAATCTTGCTTGCAGCCCCAAGTCTCATCTTATCTTCTGAGGTACTGCGTTTCCACATCCTCTACCTTTTTGGGAGTTGAGAGGCAAATCGGCTTGTCTTTTTATTCCCAGCAGCGTGCTGGAGCCTGGTTGTATCGGCTCGTGAGCTGATTGTGTTCATCTCCCAATTCCACATTCAGTAACATCATATGGACGGCTTGAAATTACTTATTGTGGGGGTATTTACAGCATGGAAATTGGCTCGTGCCACACACTGGGGCTTTTCCTTTTCCGGGAGTTGGATGTTAAACGTTTGTCAGCACAGCACTAATTATACTGCTTCACAGACACTTGAGTTTCAGCCTCTCTCTTCAGCTGGATGAATTACCTCTTTTTTTTCTTCTTCTTCTTTTTTTTTTTTTTTTTTTTTTTTTTTTTTGCCTGCCCCCTTGAATTACCTCTTTTCATATTCCAAAGTTTGGAGACAGCCCTCATCTGTTTTTGATTCCTTCCCCATTGTGTATGTGGGAATGGAAAAGGACATAACACATGTGCACCCTTCTGGATTTTACCCTTTAAATTCCATTACTGCTTTTTGGTGGAGTTTTGGGAGAGGAAGGATAAATATAGCTATTACATCTGCCGTGTTTGGTCAGAAGTCTCCTCTGCACTGAGGATAGCCTCCTTAACAGATTCTGACCACCTTTCTTCCTCATCTCCTCCGGTTTTGCTCCCTCCTCACCATCTTCCAGCTGACCAGCCTTCTTTTACTTCCTTGACTACACGTTTGTTCTCATTTCCTGATTGCTTGGTTTGTGTTCCCTCAGCTTCTTTCAGATCTCTGTGATCCCCTTACATTCTTCAACTCAAATGTCTTCCTCCTAGACAGGCGTTTTCTCACGATTTACCCCTCCCATCTTCACCACCCCCGGCCAGTGCCATCTGGCCATATTTTACTTCCTTTAGAGCTTTTAACACCATCTTGAAATTATCTGCTTGTTTACTTGCTTGCTGTCTGGTTCTCTTCAACAGAATAAAACAAGAATTTTTCCTTGTTCAGTGCAATACCCACAAGCACCTAATTTAGTGCCCAGCACACAGTAGGGCTTCAGTAAATATTTGTTGAATGACTATTAAGTGAATGAGTACATTCCTAGCCTTAAAGCCATCTGACCAGTTTGTAAAGGATTTCATCATCTGGGCACGGTGGCTCACGCTTGTAATCCCAGCACTTTAGGAGGCCGAGGCGGGCGGATCATGAGGTCAAGAGATCGAGACCATCCTGGCCAATGCAGTGAAACCCCATCTCTACTAAAATTACAAAAAAATTAGCTGGATGTGGTGGCACATGTCTGTGGTCCCAGCTACTCAGGAGGCTGAGGTGGAAGAATCGCTTGAACCTAGAAGGTAGAGGTTGCAGTGAGCCGAGATTGCACCACGGCACTCCAGCCTAGTAACAAAGCAAGACTCCCATCTCAAAAAAAAAGAAAAAGAAATTTCATCTTACTGAGCTAAGCAAGCCCATCACATTGGATCCATATTTTCAGGCACCATATGTAATACCACCTCTTTCCATAGGGCAGTTGATCTTCACTGTTTTCTTATCCTTCTTGACTAATCTTTAAGTTTCCCATCCATACAATCATTGTGTTTTTGCATTGCTAGAGAATTTTTTTTTATTGACACTGCCTCCCATTACTACTCTCCACTATTACTTGTTCTCTCAGATTTTGGGGATTTTTTTGTTTGCTTGTTTACTTCATGTTTTCTTCTAAGACTGTATCAAAACATAAAGCAGGCACCGGGCACAGTGGCTCACACCTGTAACCCCAGCACTTTGGGAGGCCAAGGCGGGTGGATCATGGTGGGGGGAGTTGGAGACCAGCCTGGCAAACATAGTGAAACCTCGTCTCTACTAAAAATACAGAAATTAGTCGGGTATGGTGGCATGCGCCTGTAGTCCCAGCCACTTGGGAGGTTGAGGCATGAGAATCACTTGAACCCGAGAGGTGGAGGTTGCAGTGAGCTGAGATCATGCCATTGCACTCTAGCCTGGGTGACAGAGTGAGACTCTGTCTCAAAAAAAAAAAAAAAAAAAAAAAAAAACCATAAAGCAAAAGAATGTCTGGGCAGGAATAAAGCAGTCCATATGCTCGTGGGTAGCAGTATCTCAAATGGGAAATGTTCCTACCTTTTCCTGCACCTTAATTTCTGTGCTTTAAAATATTTGAGGGAAATTTTTTAGGCAGAAATATATTGATGGACTAACAGTGTACAAGGCCTTTACATTGACCTAGATATTTGATGAGCTCTTTCTGTATATGCAAAGCTCTTTTCTGGGCAATGGAGAAATAATAATCATGTACCTCTTGCCTTCGAGGAACAGAAATAGTGGAAATGTATGTCACTGAGTGAATAATGCCATGAGAATGGTTAACAAGGAGCTTATATTACTTTTTCTTATCTTGAACTCTTTCTTTATGCCATTCGTTGATAAATTCAAAGCAAATAACTTGCCTCAGAGAATTCAGAAACCTCTGGTTCCTTGGAGCATATTGGACAGGTCATTATTGTCAAAGTTCATTGACGACAACTGTTTTAGAAACTGCATTTGCTGCCAAATTACTTTTCTCAAAAAACATTAAATTATATTACAATAATTAATAGAGCCCCTCTCAATAATTGAATACTCTGGGAATTTCCCAGGCTCCCCCACTTTGCCATGCCAGTTAAAGGAAAGGATTGATGTCTTCATATCTTGTTTTGCCTTCTTTAGGAAACATATTGAATGTCAATGTCATTCTAAACATTTTTAAGACCCTATTTATTTATTCTCTCTGCTCTTTAAATGAATTTTTCAACTCATTCCTACTGCACATGATTAACTGTGTTGTTAAACCCAGTTGATTTAAACTAACAAGGCAAGCATTAGCTAATGGTTTTGTCAATGCCTTGCCTTTCCTCATCATAGACACCTGGGGGCACCAGATTGATGGGAAAAGTTTTCCATTCCCCTCTGATGTGAGATGAAATGCATTACATTCAGACTTTTTTTTAAAAAGTCAAATCAATATAGTCTTCAATATCAGGTATTAGTAGTTTGTAAGGACAAAACTAATACCAGTCCAATGAATACCAATCTCCATTTTTTCTTTTAGTCTTAAATATTAAGAATTCCTATTCAGCCAAGTTACAGTGGCTCATACCTACAATCCCAGTGCTTTAGGAAGCCAAGGCAGGAGAATCGCTTCAGGCCAGGAGTTTAAGACCAGCTGGGCAACAAAGTGAAACCCCATCTCTTTTTATTTTTAAAATAAAAAGAAAAGTCAGCCAGGTACGGTGTCTCACACCTTTAATCCCAGCATTTTGGGAGCATAGGCAGGTGGATCGCCTGAGGTCAGGAATTCGAGACCAGCCTGACCAACATGGAGAAACCCATCTCTACTAAAAATACAAAATTAGTGGGGTGTGATGGTGCATGCCTGCTACTCGGGAGGCTGAGACAGGAGAATCTCAGCTATTGGAGAGGCTGAGGCAGGAGAATCACTTAAATCCGGGAGGCAGAGGTTTCAGTGAGCCGAGGCGGTGCCATTAGACTCCAGACTGGGCAACAAGAGCAAAACTCCACGTCAAAAAATAAATAAAAATAAAAGTAAAATTCCTGTTCATCTAAGTCATGACCCATGCTGCAATTCACACTACTGTTAGGAAAAGACATTATCCTTGACAATTTGTTACTGACTGGCATAAGCAGTGGAAGGACCAGTTTTAAAAATAGCTGTATTTCAAATAGTTGTCAAAAGCTTTTAAAAATAGAGGGTATTTTTATGTGAAGAACTGAAGTTTTTATCTGTTTATATTTGCACTTTATTTTGTGTTCTGCGCATTTCTGTTTAAAAGAATGAACGTTGATTTCTTTATGTGTTCCAGAATGGATTGTCTCCATTGCACATGGCCACACAAGGGGATCATTTAAACTGCGTCCAGCTTCTCCTCCAGCATAATGTACCCGTGGACGATGTCACCAATGACTACCTGACTGCCCTACACGTGGCTGCCCACTGTGGCCATTACAAGGTCGCCAAGGTTCTCTTGGATAAGAAAGCTAACCCCAATGCCAAAGCCTTGGTGAGTGGCTCAGCCAGCAAGTCCAAGCTCAGTGGTCCTGCTCACAACGTGCTGCCTCTGTGTGTGAAGGGATCGCTTTGAGGAGGTTAAAATGGAAGGTGCTAGTTACAGTGTACTTCTTGTCCATTTTTTCTAATATCCGTCAGGAAAATCTACAAAATTTTCTATTTCTGACATGAGAAAGGCTGATGGAGCCAAATTGTTAATGTTTTTATGGTTACATAAGTGTTTCCCGTATGAACTCAAAGGCTCTACAATTGTAAAAAGACTAAGGTGGCCAATGTCATCTCATTGTAGATGAACTTAAAGTTTATTCTGAAATCTGAAAATGAGGCAAAGTTATCAAAAAACTATTTTAAATATAAGAGGTCTGGGAATTTGTGAGCTAAAATTTTATATTATCTTAACCTTGTAAGTTAATGAAATATTACCTGTATCTCCTGTTTCCTTTTGCCAGTCAGAATTTGGTCCAGTTTAGAGGCTTAACTTTAAGATAATTTATTCTTTTCACCTTTAGCTATGGTATACTTTTGTTTTCTCAGCAAGATGGTGCTTGTTGTCTTTGCAAAAATAAATGGTCCCAACTTAGTAAGCTGTCTATTTCAGAATAAGTACCCATGTTTAGGAAAAAATAAGTCATCCAATTTTAGGGAAAACGTGGAATTACTAGCAATTTTGAGGTAGAGGTTGTCATCCAACTGACCCTTTAGGAAGGGTTTTTGCCCCTTTCCAAAGGGCGCGGTCATCCTGTCTGGATAGAGCCATACCACCTCTTGTACTCTGGGGGCTCTAATGTTCGGAGTGGGCGGAAAAGAATGACAAAAGAGAAACTCTTCAGACCCCAGACAGCTCCTTGCCACTATAATTCTAAAACCTTTTACCAGAGCAGCATTTCAAGATCTGTTGACCCACCCAGTCTATCAAATGTGTCTGGATTCTGAGAAGAGAGGAAAGGAAATTAGCAGTCATGACTCATTTTTCCATACAAGAAAAAATAAGTCCTAAAACAGGGTGTGGGCTCCTGCTCTCATTTTCCTCCGACTCTGAAGATTTCACAACATATGGAGGTTGTAGCCAGTCATCCTGGCTTGGACTGTGGCCAGATGGTCTGAGAAGCCTCGGTGACAGCACCTGTGGTGACTTTAACCGAGGCTTTTGCGGTAGACTCCAGTATTTTACAGTTCTTCACTCACAGCTGAAATACGTGCCACATTCTCAATCATCAGGCAGGACAACTTGGGAGGTCATTTATTAAAAAGCAGATTCCTGTATTAGATTAAATAGTAAACCAAATGATTCAAATAATGGGATATTTACATTTCTGCATCCTTGGAGTAAACACCTACTTGAAGCATAAAGCTAGAGAAGAAATGAAAACATTTTAGAGCCGGTCTTTTAGTTGTCCTAAAACACAGCAAAGAGGACAGAATAAACTGTGCTGAAGCTGAGCTGTGAGGACAGATGTTCCTGCCCAGACGTTTTCAGTCTGTATTTGAAATGAGGTAGACGAAGGACGTATTATTTTTATTTATTTTATTTTATTTTTTAGACAGAGTCTGACTCTGTCACCAGGCTGGAGTGCAGTGGCGCTATCTCGGCTCACTGCACCGTCAGCCTCCTGGGTTCAAGCGATTCTCTTGCCTCAGCCGCCCAAGTAGCTGGGACTACAGGTGTGCACCACCACACCCAGCTAAGTGTTGTGTTTTTAGTAGAGATGAGGTTTCACCATGTTGGCCAGGATGGTCTCAATCTCCTGACCTCATAATCCCAAAGTATTGGGATGCCAGGTGTGAGCCACCACACCTGGCCTTTTTTTTTTTTTTTTTTTTT